AGATATGAGGAGCCGCACGATGGACTTAGAAAACACAAAGGCAAGAGCAGTGTTAGGGAAAATAACAAGTGACAGAAACAAATCACTGCCGCTGCAGCACATGGTATCCGTGGCAGTCATTCCAATAGGCTGATTGATTTAGCCAACATGAAGCCTCGGGGGCTTCGGGTTGTCTCACTAAGGGGAGCTCATTGCAGAGGACACTCAGACTGAGCAGAAATGCCACATTTCCGTTCGCCCTTTCCTGTTATCAGAGATGTATATACAGCTAGAACTCAAACATCCTTTCTGATCTGGTGAGATCAATCGATCAGATGAAAATAATCTCATTCTCGCTCTCAGTACAGTTGACTCTGCTTGTTTAATCTTTCAAAGCTGATTCTGGGGTTATCAAGACACTTGTCTCTGTCTAGCAAAAAAATAATAATCTGTCTTTTTTAATATATTTTGCAGTACCAAAACTATATTAACACTGTAAGAGAAGAACAGTGCATGAGCTCCCCTTCATTCAATTGTGTGTGCGTATAATTACATTTTATTCTACTGTCTAACACAATATCGATACCGCCTTATTGTGCGCAACACTCTTATTTTAGAGCATTCATTTCTATGAAACCATGCTGTGTTTCTTTGCCGTACTGCATTGACGAACATGGTTGTACTGACATACTGTGTCAGGGTCGGCTGAGCCTATCCAAAGCAACTTCTGGGTGAAGTGCGAGGAGAAACCTTGCACATTTTGCTCTCAATTATAAAGTGAGAACTCCCATTTATACTTAATAATTTTTGAGAGATCCGAGAGAAACCTGCACCCGGAACACACACACTATAGTTGTGTAGTCTCGCTGTGAGATGTCACTCTTTACCATGGATTTCAACATTCACACAAAATGTTTTTTTCTATGAAACCTATTGCCATCACTTTGCCAAAAGCCCACACTGGTTGATGAAAAAACTGGGGACGTTATAGTCACATTATTTCTTACCGATGTTCTTTCTAACATTATTTTTCTACAGAGTTGAAGGGCTTAGAGATGAAAGAGGGGGGGGTCCAACTTTCCAAAGTGGGCAATGACACATGCACACTGTGTGTATTACTGTAGTCTCTGTCTCTCTACACCAAGTGGAAGGCTTTATCCTTAAGTCAGATTTTCAATGAGAGAAGCAATCACAGCGGCACACTTGAGTTGGTGGAAGCTATATTTTCATGATTGTGTGTCTTAAAGTCCTGCTCCCTCCAATGGAACTAATAAACGCACTCCACGGATGCACCGACTCATCACTTCCCCGTCTATGAGGAAAGCTGAATTCACCAGAAACATAATCACTGTGAGCTTAGTGCAATAATCATATTTGGTCCAGATGAGGCAGCAGTTCTAGAAAGTATGATTTTAAAATCTCATAAATCACCCAGAATCTGAATGTGTAATCTCATTGATACACACATTTATACACCAGCTTTGCCTCAAGTGGAAAATATGTGTTTTCTATCTATGAATCTCGCAGTGATGCACGCTGTCTCTCTGCTACAGATAGTTGAATGGGTTTCCTGCATGATAGCAGCAGAGGGCTGCATCTCAGTTTAGATGTTGCCAGAGTGCTGACTGCTTAACCTTTGGTGCTCCCCAGTAGGACAAAGAACCACATCATGATGTCTATGTTTCATATCCCTTAAAACACTTTAATGAACATGTCTACCTGAACTGATGGAGGCTGATTGGACTGATTTCACTTCTTCTCCAGGCATTAATATGCAAGAGATGTTCATAAATAATAATGACTTCACACCTTCTGTCTGTTCACATATCACATCTGACAACGCAGAGGTAGAAGGAAGGCAGGTTATGGTTATTTAATATGCTTCCCACAATGGCACCTTAGCCATATAATCATTCACTCAGTGAACGCAATGAGATGCAAAATTACATTTTAACTGTATCTGAATTTTAAACTAGATTGTAAATGTCATTTTTTGTGCATCTCTGCTTCCACTTAGTACACATTATTATATAGTTACTCATGATATGCACTTTGTACCATGTTACCAGAACAAAATAATACAGTTGGTTTAAATAATTTTTGTCTTTTCTTTGTGTGTCTAACCTGAAATGCATTACGTGAATCCTTGACTGAATTAATAATTTACCTTTTAAGGGGTTGAAATACTTTGCACAGCAGCGGGGAATTCTGTCCCTGGAGAGCATCAAAGATAGGTAAATGAAAGAAAGGGCCGACACTGCAGTGGAAAAACCTGCATTAGTATCTGGTCCTGCAGACATGGAGGGTTTCAGCGACAAGCTTTTCTGCTGCAGGTGGGTGCGCCACAGAGTTCCCCTGGCCCACAGAGAGGAACTGTACCACATCCTGAGGATGACCGGCCCTCTGGTAAGGATTGACACTGTTTACATACCTTCCTCTGTCTGTTAGGGATTGTGTGGATTGAGGCTGTCCTTGATGAAAACCTGATTTATACAACAGAAGATTGAGTGTTTGGTTGGAAATGTCAAGTGAAAAACAACCTGTGTCTGATATTTAGAAGCACACATCAGTCAACCACAGGCAGTGCTTGCCTAGTTTCAATCGTTGGCTGCAACCTGACAAAGTGATGACTGTGTGATGGCTGATTTGCAAAGAGAGCCCTGCTTATTAATTGCGACTTGTGTTTCTGGTCATTTACAACGTGTCCTCTGTGTGCTGGTAACTGTATCAACTGCACCATTGTCCATGTTTGTCTTTCTAGCTGCTCTCTCGAATCCTCAATTACCTGCTCCCATTTGTGGTCACCATGTTCTGTGGGTGTCTGGGAAATGAAGTGATGGCTGGCTATGGATTAGCTTCTGCTGTAAGTGGTGATCTGTATGCTCCGTAGACTTGTGGAGGCTAGCATGAGGGAATGAAAGGTGGAAATGTAATTCCAAGGGAGAAAATGAAATATTAACGCTATAAACTTACCCTCTTCAAGATTTTACAATTGTTTCACACCCCTGATGATTTATATAATAAGTAGTATGTTTGCTGTTAAGAGTTATAGAAATATTGGTTACATCAGAGGGATTCAAGTTTGTTTCAAATTCCTTTCAGACCCTTAATATTACCACTGCAGCAACAGGATGTGGTCTGGGACTGGCATGCGATACTTTGGTGTCTCAGGTTTGCCCTTTGCAATTTTGCCCTCCCCCTCAATTTCACAAACTCAACATCCCCATTGTTCATTCATTACACCCTGTTCTATAATGATAAACTCGGTCTGTGCTGTTGTGTGCAGACATTTGGTGGTAAGAACCTGCTGCGGGTCGGAGTGATCCTTCAGCGGGGCATCATCATTCTGCTGTTGTTCTGTCTGCCCTGCTGGGGTCTGCTCATCAATGCCCAGGCCATCCTGTTGTGCCTGGGCCAGAGCCCTGAGGCGGCCAGGTGACTACGTAAATCTGTCCACGAATGGTGTTCAGTCAGAGCACGAGACCTCATCCCCTCAAACACCTCTACATTCAAATCAGATCTGGTCCCCACAGATTATGAGCAGATTCAGCATGAACAGATTATCAGTATTCAAAATATTGATCACATGACCTCTTAACAGTTCTGTGGTGCACACTCACGCCTCTTCTGTGTTATTTAATGTGTGTTCTCCAGGGCTAAGCATACACTGTATAAAACAATATCTTCATATTATTTCTCCTGAAATTCAAAATTTTCTTGCGATGAATATATATTTTTAAGTGGCAGTGGAAATAAATGAGCTTCAAATTATGACATTGAACAGTGTATAGTATGAGATTATCATTTCCTTGGATCTGAATACAGCCTTCTGACTTTAGAATAGCCCAGCTGTATATGACAGCCTTCCTTCCAGCCGTACCAGTGAGTTGTGACTTTTCTCACCTTTTTAAGCAAATTCAATCATTTTTCAGTGATCTCTAGAGAAACCACTACCTCTCAAATGTGTGTTTTTAAATCTATTTTTTATGTCTTTTAGGCAATGTTTCTACATCAGCTTCAGGTGTCTTATCTGCAGAACCAGGTGCATTTTAATATCCTGTACACAATTTTTTTTTTTTCAGAGAATCAAAACATGTTGTCTTAATTAATGTAAGGTGGTACTCATCATCGCATCATCTGATGTTTGTGTACTCAGGGCATAATACTGCCACAAATGTACGCTGCTGCCATGGCAAACATAGCGAATGTTGTGACGAACTACATCTTTATTTACTGGCTGGATCTGGGTGTTAGGTAAGTGTACTCGCACACCATTTTGAATCTGATTAAAACACATACACATACACACACACACACACGCACACTCACACACACACACTGATATCAACTTGTCTGTGTCCATGTCTTACAGCGGATCTGCAGCAGCCAATGCTCTGTCTTGGATTTACATCTGCACTTTTCTGTTTGCTTACATTTGGTGGAAGAAGCTCCATGTAAATACATGGGGAGGTGAGAGATTTCACATTTATAGTTTCCCTTGCTTTCATGCATCACTCTCTTCAGCCTCCATCTTTTTTAGTCTACATACATGAGTTTCTCTCTCCCCCTGCAGGCTGGTCTGTGGAATCACTGCAGGAGTGGGGCTCCTACATGAAACTGGCCTTTCCCAGTACATTAATGACATGTTTCGAGTGGTGGGTTTATGAGTTTGGTGGATTCTTTGCAGGTAATCCAAATATTTTCATGATTACATTAATACAGATCTATGTTATTTAAGACTATCTCAAAGCTCATTGATTTAATCAAAACAGCATGCGATACAAACTTCTTTGTCTCTGACGATCAGGAATGCTGAGTGAAGACGAGCTGGCTGCCCAACATGTTGTGACAATGGTGGCTTTCATAACCTACATGGTACTAACAACAAGTCAGAGTGTGATATTCTCACTTTAAAAGTCAGATTTAGATTAGTTAAAAAAAACACTTTCAGGAGCAAGCTCTTTTGTAAATCAGTGTGCATTCTTTCTGATTCTGGAATGTATTTCTTTTTGTGCAAAATGATGAATCCACAGTTCCCTCTTGGTATTCAAGCTGCAGCATGCGCCCGTGTGGGTAATGCTCTCGGTGCCGGAGACACTGCCAGGGCCATCCTCACCTGCAAGTTGTCACTCGCTCTTGCAGGTCAGTTCTAAACATGTTGTGTTGATGTAGCCGAAATCAATAAATCAGCATTTGATGTTTGATTTCTTTACATCCACTTTTTTCCCAGGTAGCATGGCAGTTGTTGAAGGTATTGTGCTTGGCTGTACTAAAACAGTGATTGGCTTCATCTTCACCTCTGATGAGTGAGTCTCTGCAGCTGCACTGTCTTTCAGTAACTATGATTGCAAAGATTGGAATAAAAAAATAGATGCCAATTATAAAATCCTATTACAGGAAGATCATAGGTCTGGTTTCACACTTGATGAATGCATACTGTTTCCTTCAGTTCTTCGATGCTCTTATGGTGAGTACAACAGTTCTTCTTGTAAGCACAGCAAATATATTTGCATGTTGAATGGGCCAAATATATAAATGTTTAACTCAGGAGTTAGTAAATGGTGGCCAATGGAGTGAGACTGCATAATAATTAGAGATCTGTCTCTTTACATCCTAGTGCGTGTGCTCTGGCATCTTCTTGGGCACGGGCAAACAGAAGATACCAGCCATGGGCAATTTTATTGGGTACTACTGCATAGGACTTCCACTAAGCGTTACTTTAACGTTTGTTACAAAACTGAGAATTTTAGGTAATTGTATGAAGTGATGTGTTGTTTTTAATTTCCAAAGAGAAGGGTTTTTATTTTCATGGAAAGCCTGCTCTGCACTTAACTGAATAATTGCAGGTTTTTGGCTGGGACTCCTCATTGGTATCATTTTACTATCCACCTTCTACATCACTGTCATCTTTAAGCTAAACTGGGAGAGAATCACAGAGGAGGTATGCTCAGCAGGGCCTCAGAATCTGGACTTTCAAAAGCTATTTGCTGCATGTAAGGATCTGAGGAATTAGACATTGGTTTAGCTTTTGTTTGTATTTGTTTGCAGGCTTTAAACCGAGCACAGAAAAACACTCCCATGACTTTATTAAGCACAGCTGTCCTGTCAGACGCTGCGGGTCACAACACTGTTGACCAGACAGCGAGCCATGGGAACGTAAGCGGCCTGTAACAACAAAACATCTACATTTATTTTCATAGCTTGTTTTATCTTGTCAATTGGCATTTCTATTATTAAGTTTTTGCTGTCCTTTGACATTGTTCTTTTTCCATATGACTTAACAAAATAAAGTAATGGTCAATGTCTGTCTCCCAAGCCAGTAGATGGCTACATGTCTGTGGGCCCCGAGTGCCATGACGGGAACACGGAGAGACAGGATGGACATGTGGTCCAGCTGAAGGGTGTCCGTCTCTCCACTACCCAGCTGATCCTCAGGCGAGGCCTCACTGTGTTTGCAGCAGTTGCACTTCTGGCTGTGGGAGCGACTGTGCACTTCCTTGTGCCCTTACCAGAGACCTGGCCTTCAGAGGCCAACTTTACTTTGGACTGGATCAACACGACATATACTCCTCATCACATTCTCTCCACTGCACTGGTCCCAAATGAAGAGTCAGATTGACCTTAAAGTAACAATATGGCACACTGCCGGCTAACGTTTAAATTGAGTACTGCAAAGCCAAATTCACCCGCATCACCCAGATTCGAAGTGCATGCGGTTTGCCGGGTTCAGGACACTAAACCGTCATGAGCGCAACATTGTACTTTGAGAATGAAAGTACGAGTCTTACACTGTAAATTGATCCGCTAATGTATACATTTGCAATGTATTTGTCTGCACATTATAAACCAGCTCATGTTTTTTTGTTTATTTTTTTTATCTTTCAGCTCGCTATAGATGTGTGGCTGGCTATGTTTATGGTTGCCAAAGCTCAGCCTGTTATCCCAAAAACAAAAGCCAAGTGCTTCGAAAATATACATTCCAGAGTTGGAGTTCAGTGGCTGTTGGCCTTACTACTTTCCAGGCCCAATAACGAGGTACTTTGTTGATTTTCCACTGAGTGACGTGACTTTCACCGGCAAATGAGCGGGGAGCTTGACCCGCTCGCAACACAGGGATGACACAGAGCCGGTTGAATGAAAATCTGTAAAGTATTCCGACCACTAGACGTGATAAATTAGTTAAGGTTCACTAACCTTAGTTGAAGCTCAACGCTCACTGTTTAGGAGGAAAAAAGGCCACCGCCTTAGAATCCTCTGAGCTGTCTCCATCTCTCAAACGCATTTCCAAGATTGGTGGAAATGGTCTTTTTATGATTTAATACAGTAAATATATTGTTGTTCCTTTAAGAATTCAAGATAACCACAATGTTTCTATTTAATGCATTAAATACAAAGGTTGTCAAACTGTCTTTAGTTTGACTCATTCTCTTTGACAGAATGTGGTTGTGAGACAAACACTGCAGATTCACTGGGACATCTTGTGAATTATTGGTTTGACATTAATTCATTGATCATACACAATTTCTCACTCTGTGTACTGTCCATCTGCACGTGTGCCTTCCTTCTGCACGTCCTGCTTTGACATCCTGCAATGCAAACATCTGCCTTTGCTCATGTTCATTTAAACAAGTTAGTGATCAGCAGGTTAAGAATGATTCCAGCAGCCAGGATTAAAAGCATGACAGCCAGAGTCAGGCCTCTACGCAGAACCAGAGTCCTGTGAGAGAACATCCGCACTGTTTGTACTGCTGGTTCCGCCTCAGTCTGAACCAGGTCAATGGTGTCTTTTTGCCCTGGTGAGTTCCCTGGATCATCTGGTTGGGGACCTGGATACATATATGGATATATGGATGTATGTATGTACGTACATACATACATACAATCACACTCCATAGCTCTATAAGAATATTGAGCTTTTGCATTGACTTCTCTAGCAGTATAAAATGTTTTACTTACTTCTGTCTGTGGAGCTCGCACACACTCCCGCTCTGATTTGAGCCTGGAAGAAAAACAATGTGTGAACGTTTAATCATAAAGAAGTAGCCTTCGTCCATCTAGAATGGGAAGATGCACCTCTGAATACTAACCTCGACTTTAGCTTTCATCCAGTCCATTCTTACCAGGTAGAAAATTAAGAATGACGACTGCAGAGCCACACAGGTAAACAAGCCTATCCACAGACCTAAGGGAAATAAAGAGTTTTACATCTTTAGCTTTAAGAGTAGCAAGTGATGCTGAGTCAGATCTCTAAGTAAAAATAGACTATGGGGACAAAAAATGACTAGTTAGACAGAAATGTGGCAAAAACAAACAGATTAAGGCTAAAAAACATGCTGTAAATCTTACCCTTGATTCCCATTTTGGCAGCAAACATCAGTGTCACTCCAATGGGAAAACCAACACCATAAAACCCAAAAATGTTGCAAATAGCCCCAATCCTCTGTTTACCAGCTCCTCTTATAATGCCTCCCGAGGCTGCCTAGTCATGCAAACACAATAAAGAGGTGGTTAGACAATTTTTTTCAAATGCAATAATATGTAGGTGTGTCAAGAGATCTTGTTTGGATGTGAATTGGAGAGATACTTACTGATATTGCATCCAGGAGGATGAATGGTGCATATAAAAGCATGATATCAGCAACCCTTTCCCGTATTTGTCTGACGGTAAAGAGACTCAAAATTAACAGTTTGACACTGAAGAGAGGTTAAAAAAAATGGACCATGTGATTTGTGTGTTATATATTGTGACATATTATATTATCGTTGACCAAAGAGAAATCAATAAATTGCCCAAAATCACAGTGATGCCGAGCGTAACATTTCCCTCAAGTTAATGTTTAAAAGAGTTTGTCGGGCAAAGTTCACTGTAATGCACGTCATGGTCAAAGGTCACTTAAGTGACAGATTATTGCAGACTTGACACTGTCACTGTAGATGTTAACACACTGTTTCCCCCCCCCCCAAAGGTAATGAGTACAGTCGCAGTTTGAAAAACACATGACAAAGATATACTCACTTGTCATATGTAAAGACATAAGAGATATGGTCCTTCAGGCTCCCAATGAGAGCGGACAAACATATAGAGACCGACACTGTGGTAAAGAGTAACACACTTCATTTTCCACAGGTTGCATCATGCAAAAGGTGCTGATTCAGTTTACTGTTTGTAAACTGACTTACAGTATATTCAAACACAGAACAACCACAGTCTTCTAATGTTGGCCAACGAGAAGCTGTGCAGGAGCAGGTCTACAACTTTTTGGTTCTTTTAAGCTCTAAGCTACTGCTGAATTAGTTTCTTTAGTGAAATTAGAATTATTTAACAATTACTAAAGTATTAACTTATCTCCAAATACATGCTTTTGATAAGATATTAACAGATAGCATATAAATGGTGTTTACTGACCTGCACAGAACATAGTTAGTTTAGCGGACAGCTTAGCCTGCTCCGTGTCTCCGGCTCCCAAGGCGTTTCCAACTCTTACATTACCTGCTATACTGAAACCCATAGGGAACTAAGAACAAAAACGCATTATTAACATACTGGTACACTGCTTGTACAAGTGGGGGATTCAGATGAGACAATAACAATTTGATGTATATGAATTTTGGTAGAGGAAAGATTACCATGTATGCAATAGTAGACAGTCCATATACAACCGATTGAGCTCCAAGCTCCACCTCACTTATTAGACCTGTCAATGACAAACGGCACTTAGATTTCACACCAGCAACGCTTTAAACAACAAAGTGGCCCATGACATTACCTGCTAGAAAGCCTCCAATCTCATACGTCCACCACTCAACACACATCATGACCATGCTGGGGATGGCCAAGTTGATGTATGAGCTCCAGTCCTGCAGGCACTCTTTAGACCAGCCTGCATGGTCAAATAATAAAGCAATACATCATTATATCACTCACACGTATGAAATATAGGTTAGATCAGATCAGTGCCTTGTCTCAACAATCAGATCTGTACCGACTCCGAGGAGCTCTGCTGGGAACATATCATAAGCAGATCAATGCTCATTTGATTTGAAATCTACAACAACATTCTTGAATGTCTTAAACAAACAGGGAAGCAAAGAAGAGAATAAGAAAAGAGCTCGTATACGTGTTTGTAGTGGAACAAGCCTTGAGCTCTGAACTAAACCATAGTTTGTTCCCTCAGCATATCAAATATGGAAGACGTTTTATACTGCCGTGGAGGGAGAGGAATGGGAGAAATAGTAACTTTCCTCCATAAATTTAAGATCTTAGCCACACAAAACCTTCACTGTATTGTGGTTGTTCCAGGCATTGCTGACAAATTGCACACACGGCCTTGAATGGATATTAGTTTCTCTCTGAAGATGGGTGTAAAGTGCTCTTGAAACTCCTTTCACACAATTAATTAGAAGTTTGTTTTCCAACCAAGCATGTCTTGTGGCAGCAGCATTACAAATCATAATAATAAAATGAATAATAACTATTCGAAAATGTTGAGTTTCTCCTGAGCTACAGCCTTATTAAACCACAACCATCTCCCTCTGAGCTTCCTTCATCACTGCGATAGCTCATTAACATTGGCATGAAAGAAGCAACTGGAGCCTATTAGTTTATGCAGGCTCACGGTCCTCCAATGCAAATGTGGTTCTCACCTCCCCAGGTGGCCTTGTGAAGACCTTTCCACATGATATAAGAATAGAGAACTGCAGCCATGGAGAACTGGGAAATGTTGTTGGCCACAGCAGAACCTCTGTAAAGAGTAGTTCGTTGCATGACATTGGTTATGTGACGCAAGCAGTAATTGTGTTACTGAAAGAGGCAACAGGCGAAACTCACGCTACTCCCAGATTTAATACGTAAAGGAAGATGTAGTTGATGAGAGCGTTAAGAAGATTGACCATGAAGCCTGTGATTACCTGCGGCCATATGATGCCCTGAAAGAGAGCCACATATTATTCATAATTAGAAACAGGCAAAGTGAAAACTTTGCCTGTGGCATCCCTTTCATGTAATCATCCTGCACTGTCCTTATTTCAGCTCATCAGAGAGTTACTTAATGTTGAATAATAATGAACCTTACCTGGTTTTGCAGATATCTTGTTTGTAATGAATACATGAATGTAGCCTAAACACAACAACAAAGAAAAAAGAACAATATAAATATATCAATTTAATCTTTTTTACAACTGCTTATTCTTATTTTGAAATACTTACAGGAAGTGCTGGCATAAAGATATTCACGTACATCTGAGACAAACTAAAAAGAGATTTTCCATCAACATCAACCAGAAGTACACACTTTTTAAATGATACATACATATATTTAATGAACAAATAAAGCGGGAAAATAAGACATGCGAGTTGTGACACAGCTTACCTGGCCACCTCTGGCTCCTGTCTGACAGCCAACAGGATGGGTTCTGTGTTCACGAGGATCGCCCAACAGGGGAAACACGCCAGTAACAAGATGAGGATCGCCCGCTGTATGATCACCCCAACTCTCATGAGGTTATTGCCCCCAAAAGTCTGAAACCAAAGAGCATTTTCTTATTTTGTCAATACTTGTCTTACCTAATGAAAAATAATGTGTAAGGCTCATACCTGAGAAATCAGAGTATCACACGCTGAAGCCAAACCCACTCCAATAGATATACCTGTGACATTAATAACCTGAGGATACAACGCAAACATTGATGGATTATGTTCTGTTGCTTTATTGGTTTGACTTTCATTGGAACAACACTCCTGTTCTGGACTCACTGCTATCGCCAAAGACACTGCTGCCAGCTCCGTCTTCCCCAGATGGCCACAGAAAACAGTGCTGACAAAGCTCACTGCAAACACCATGAGCTGGGCCATAATCTGATGAGATCAAATCAAAATGGATGGAAAGATAGTGATTACTTTACAGGTAAATGACAAGTATTTGGTGTGGGCCTATTTCTTCTACTTCAACCCTGGCCTGTACTAAACGGTACAAGCTTCATTAGTAATCAAGCAGCAATGATTGGACACTTGAGAGTGCATTAAATACAGGCTACTCACCACTGGTCCGGACAGTTTAGACAACTCTTTTATTTCGGTCTTGAAACCAACAGGGACCAACATGCGGATCCGCTTAGTTACAAAACATTCACTCCATGAAGAGAGAGGCGAGCTCTGCGCGCTGCTCTCCATGATTCAGTAGCAGCTGTTACTGCTCCATTCACGGCTGTGTGTGTGTGTGTGTGTGTGTGTGTGTGTGTGTGTGCGTGTGTGTCCGAGCGTCTGTGTCAGTGTGAGGAATGTGTTGTAACTGCTTTCACGTGAAGCACGTGTTATTCACTTCCTGTCAGTCTGCGGTGACATAAGCTCTCTGCGCCTCGCCGGTGAAGTGGACGAGAGCATGGATGCAGCAGCTGCTGCGGTTAATTCGGACAGTTTTCAGCTGCCTTTGAAGAATATACAAAGAAACTACTTCCTGCTAGATCATGTAGGCTACTCGTAGTTTGCAGACCTCGTTCGCATTTATTCATAATGTGTTTGTAAATATATAATAATGTAGCTGGTATTTTATGCTATCCTTTGTCTTTTTATGTCTGCTTGTGAAACAGTTTGCTGGTCGTTATGATATGTGTTGTATAAATAAGCTTTATTATTATCAATCACAAAAGATATGTTTTTAGATTAAACCTGAGACTATATACTGTATATACCTGCAAACTACAGATTGGATCTTTCAGTTTCGCCATGACCGAGGATTTTTCGTGTATAAATAGCATATGTCAAGATTGGATTGAATATTCAGAATCTGAAATTCAGGTAATTCTTAGATATTTTGCAATGCTTTTCATACTATAATATTTCACTAATATATTTATATTTTTGAAATGTGTCCATGTGTTGCAAGTCATCCCACACAGCGATACAAACGTTTGTCCTTCAATACTCCTTTCAGTAACGTCCTGAGACGTTGTTGTTGGTGCTGAATCACACCAACAGATGGAGCCACTTCCCTGAAACACGTGCCAACTGATCACACTGTATCTTCACTGAAATGTTAACATATCACATCACACATGATAAAACGTGAATTATTGAGCACTAAACCTTTATAGTGTAGAGATATGTTGGTCCACACTAAAACATGTTGTTTATCTCTAAATCTCCTAATTTTCACTATCAAATCATTATTAGATAGTTATTGATTACAATGCCATTAAAACACTTTTTACACCTCGTTTTAATGATTTACAAGGTTAATAACGAGTCAGCATTAATAGAACCATTATGAACAAGGTCCATCAAATGACCAATAATAATCACCTGATATTGTACTTAAGTTGACAATTTAAAGTACAAAGACTTTTGTAATGTTATTCATTTTAAATTAAAGACATATTCAATTACTTTTTGCAAATACTACAAGTCCCCTTATTAAATTGAGAAATAAATAGGTATTGAGTTACGTTCATGCCTCCCTGAATGGTTTAATTATATTAGCACTCCGAAATTCAGGGGTTGTTTAAGGTGGTCTCAAAAAGTAGAATCCAATGAATGTAATACTCCTTTGCCATGTAAAACCCCATTATCTAATTGCAGGACGGTTTGGAAGGGGGAGAACAATGTCTCTATGGGATAAGCCAAATAAATAAATGTAATTTCAATCTTTAAAATGTTTTTTGTTCATAACAATGTTTTTTTTGGAACTCTTCTAAGAGGACAAGTTCAAGTCAGATTCTTTATCCACAAACGTACTGCCCATGTAATGTAAATTAATGTTTCACACAGGGCTGTAATGCAAAATACTATCTTCCCCATGACATCATATGGGACTCAGTTGTCAGTTATTCTGGCCACTGTGGCATGAAAACAATCACAAAAATCTTTTTCGCAACAGGCTTTAAGAGGAGACATCGAACAATCAAACAATCTCAGCAACAGGTGATTCTGTCCTTGGTCCGAAGGAAAGACATCCCATCGGGACACTTTGGCATGGAGCCACATGCTCTTTGCTCAAACAGACGGGCAACATCGAATCAGTTAACTGTTAATGTCAATTCGAGACAGTTTCATCAAAACAGTCCATTGAGAACTTCAGAGAATCACACAATAGTAGGGTTGCACTGCTTTATTGTCTCTTATTACAGCTAAAAATTCCCTATTTGCGAGTAAAAGGAGTGTGTTCCCTGTAAGGTGAAGGGTTCTGGGTGCACTTCCTGGCAAGAATCCCATAGAAGAAACAGAAACCGGTAAACATGAAGCGACTCTGTAAGATTATGTAATGAGCGCGGCCCTTCTGGATGACAGTGCCTCCATCTACAGGGGTCACTGAGTAATCTAATAGGCATGCAAATTAGTTAATACGCATGGCTGGATTAACCTGTTTAGGGCCCCGGATTTAGAATCTGCTGTTTGGGCCGACCCACCTCCTATTGCTTCCTATGCTGCAGAATGACATGACTCCATTTTTTGTGGTGTTGCAGTGATTGGACTAAATTAATTCAGGAATATGGACATTGTAAGCACAATGTGAACTGAAATAATGTATTGATTGTAAAGGGCACTGTTTAGCCTGGTCAGCATGAATGTACTTTGGCCCAAAGAGTACAAAGAAAGGCCCTCTGTCCTCTTCTAGATCTTTTAGCTTTTGGCCTGCCCTCTTGTCCACAAGTTAATCGGATACATTGCTAACTGAAACCATCTCTACACACAAGTCTTTATGTGCCAGGAAGGATTGATTGTATCAAACAGGCTGCATATTGTCCTCATGTGTAACTGATACAGAAAAGGTGGAAGGCCAATGTGGCTTTAAAAAGACTTCCCATCCGCAAAATACTCTCAAAATTATCAAATGGACGAGTCACAAAATCTGCTTTTTGACCTCAGTAATTTATCAATCTTACTTCCTTTCTGTGCAACCAGAAGGCTTAGTTTATAACAAGTTAAAGGAACAGTGTGTGGCGTTTAGGGGGAATCTTTTGGCAGAAATAGAATATGATATTAATAAGTTTGTATTCTTTAGTGTATAATCACCTGAAAATAAGACTCCACGTGCTCCACGCTTGGTACACGGTAGAAGTTTAAGTTGTTTGCGTTCAGCAGTCTCACCGCTGGATGCCCCAAATCATACACACTGCACCTTTAAAGCTACTATGAGTTGCTTCTGAGCACCAAAGTCCCTTTAGGAAACCTTAGATAAATGGCCTGCCTGCCCCACTTTGTCCTGGTTGTGGTTCTCCTGGGCCTCCCTTCCCTCCAGCGGGCCCAACAATACGACCAGGGCCTTCAGCAGCGTGGTGTATTGTTGGCTAGCTAGACAGCAACAACACACAGTGAGAGCAACTTCATTCTCTGCTCATGTAGACATTACTCTACAATATCTTTACACAGCAAATAGTTATTTGCTGTTATATTACTGCTCTGAATATCAAATTTAGCACCTTCAAAGTTACTTCAAGGAACTTTTAACTGGTTGTGAAAGAGTCTCAATTTAGCACTGATGCCTCTATATGACCTAATAGAAATGTTTTTTGGGTTACCAGAGGTCTTGTGTATGTGCAGGAAACCCCAGCAAAGAGAAGAACGTGCAGGTTAAATTTCCTTACTGAAGCCTTACATGTATATATAGCCAATAATGGAGGCTATGATATGTGAGGATGTGTTTCAAAAGGATAATGAGTGGGTGGCTGAGAGGCAGCAAAGGGAGAGAAAGGCACTGTAATTACATAAGCTTTTTTCCCCATTGGGACCCGAGATCATAGTGATCTGAACTTCTCTGTGCACCCGACCGCTTCTTAACCACTTTCAAACCGTCAAACATTTTAATCGTCCAACAGAACTGAGGTTTAAAACGTTGTTGTGATCCTTTCATCTATTTCCACCCTGCTACCTTTGCTGCAGTACAACATGTTTTCCTCTGTCGCATGATGCCACCAACATGGTTTGGTGTTGCCATATAATGTATGTAGAGTCACGGGATTGATGATCTTTTGTCTCGCTGTAAAACACAGTTCTCATCATGGGGATAGGGGTAGGGTTGTAATAAAGTGCTTTGCGGTATTTAAATGCAGACATGTGAAATGCCTTCTTTGAGCTCATAATGTTTATGACGCTGGACAATATCACCGCCAACCCTTGGCTCACGCAACGTCTCGCCAAGAGGACAATGACACAGCTCTTGTCTACATATATTAGGTGTGGCCTTTCAGTGCAGGATTACTGTGGCTTTCCGCACTGTGTTTACAGGATTATATCAGCTTTATGCACGAGACAAGAGGTCACTAAGCGAGAGGCGGAGGAACACGGCTAATAGGCGGGCGTAGTTGAGAAAGAGACGACTGGTGATGAAAGTGGAATCATTTTGTTTTGGATGATTCTGAGGGATGACAATGCTGTTTTTACAGCAGTTTTATTTCCACCTGCTTTATTAAAGCCTCTTAGTTGCTTACAAGCCCATACTCGGCCATTAGTGGAAACTGTTAAGATCTTGCTGTGAAATCAGTGGCTTAAATTTTAAACCAAGTGTTTCTGTAGAGTTTAGAAATATTGTGTGCATGAACAACTGACTAAATAAAGCTCTAGCGTAAGTTCAGTAAGGAAGACTATACTCTTGCATGCCTAAGCCCGTGGTTTATTTTTCATACATCTGCCAATCACTCCTCACACATGCTCACTCATGGGCTGTTGATCGTGATATCAGCTGTCTAGATCAGCTGGTCTCCTTTATCCAATAGCACAACGACACAATTACATCGTCAGCCTATCATCTTGCTGCTGACTCTCTTGAATATGATTGTCTCTCTACCTTCAGTACTTCATGCTGTTGTTACGCAGCCCTCCACCTCCCCATCTCCACCCAGTCTTCGCAGTTTCATCCGCTTCATCAACTCATCATTCTATCAGCCTCATCAGCCACCACCACCATCAGTGTCTGGACTCCACGGGGGGATTTATCTTGCTTTCCCTCGATTACAAATCTCCCTGTAGAAGACTCTGAAGACTTTATCAACACATATCGTCTGTTTATAATAAACTATTATCTTTTCTTTATCTGACTTGTCTCTCCTGATTGAAATAACTTTCTATATGGAAAAGGAATGAGGTTTTTGTAAGTGTTAGCAAAGCACCGTGTGTGGAGGCATTGCAAGAAAGACACATTAAAACTCACTATATCAAAACTTGTGTCTTTTATTTTTAGAGTTTGTCACAGACCAATGAAGTACTTCATTCCATTGGCTACTTAGGCAGATAATATACTGTATTATTAATTTCCCTGTTACAAAGGTCTTGAAATTGAAGAGAAAATAGATGAAATATCATCTTTATTGCAATTCAGTCAGAATTCATTATTGCAGTGAGACATTTCACAATGTCGTCGCAAGGCACATAGGTTTCTTGCGTTGTAGTGATGATACACTACATGGTCAACATAGTAGGTCAACATAGGGGTTATTGTCAAGTTTCTGACATACTGTTCATATTAGCCCATTATCTATAAATACCAAAATGCCAAAACTAACCGACAGCGTTTGTTACCTCAAATCTACTTAGAAAGATGTGCCTGCAAACCACTCAGTTCTTGGTAGCAGTAAGGGAAGAAGTATTTAGATTTTTTTTTTTACTTAGTAAACTATTACTAGTAAAAGTAGCTACACCATAATGTAAAAGCAGTCTTGAATTCAACATTTTACATCACTGAAAGTACAGATTTTTGACACAAATATGTATCAAATAGTAAGAGTACTGATTAGGCAGCTGAATTGCCCTTGTCAGTGTTATATTAATGTTATTGGATTATACTAATGTATAAATAAATAATATTGCGTCTGGTTGAGTTGGGGCTATTTCATATCTAGTTTAATCTATGATAATATTTCATATTACATTGATATGAAAAGTTACAAAAAACTACAGCTGTCTACAGCATAAATGCACTAGAGTAAAAAAGGAAAATATTTAAAGTAAAAGCAGAAGGAGCACAAAATGTAAATCCTTAAATAAAGTACAAGTACCTCAAAATTGTAGTTAAGTGCAGTACTTGAGTAAATGTGCAAAGTTACCTTATTATAATTTACCATATGGCTAATTGCTATTTAGATGTCTCTACATGTGAATATGTAAAACATTTTCGTTTATAATCTCCACCACTGATGTAGGGGAAACAAATATTATTATTATTATTTTTCAGTGGGTTTTATTTTCCATCTTATGTCTTATGCTTATTATATCTCTTCTATTTTATATTTTTTCAATTTATTACACCTTATATAATGTTTTGCACTTTGTCTCGATGGTTTTATGGTTAATGAAGCGCTTTGAATTGCCTTATTGCTGAAATATGCAAATAAACTTGTCTTGCCTCATGAATAGCCTTTCCTTAGCTGCTTAATAGGATTATAAAATCTCAGTATTTGAGAGTATAAATACTGACAGTATGATTTATGTGATACTGTTTTATGAGTGTAGCTGTCACTTAATTATGATACAATGTAAATAACGAAAAGTTTTTTAATTCATTCCTCAACCACTCTTCTTTCTTTCCCAATCATATTCGTCACCACTTTCTTTCACAAGCAAGACTCAGGTGTCAATGAAAACAAGTCTTGAGGGCCTTGTATTCTGACAGCAATCGGACGCAGGCGGTCCACCGTGTGGTCCTGTGCTGTCGCTCTGACCAGAGGTCTTTGTTTGGCACCTGTGGATAGGGAGGGCAGGGTGTGCGTGGATCCTCTGCTGTGGCAGTACCAGGCTCACACCCCGGTGACGTTGGCCCAGGCAGGGAAGGAGTCCAGGTCAAACATGGCCTTGCCCCAGCTGTTGATGGCCAGCGTGATACAAAGGATGCCAATGATGTTCATGACTATTCCTGTCCTGGCCTGATGGAGAAGAAGAGCATGTAGGGATATTAAAGCAATTGTTGGACATTTTGAGAAATACGCTTGTTCACTTTCTTGCTGAGAGTCAGATGAAAGTGATATCACTCTTGTGTCATTCCGTTAAATAGGAAGCTATACAGCCAGAAGCTGGTTAGCTTTGCTTACCACAAAGACTGGAAGTAGGGGGAGACAGCTAGCCTTGCTCCTTCTAAATGTAACAGAATTCACCTCAGAGCGCCTCAAAACTGCACTACTCAACACGCTTTATCTCATCAAACATTAAAAAACTAAATGTGAAAATGCCAAGTAGTGGTCTTTTATCAAGGGGTCACGTGCCAGACTATGTTTTATTCTTACAATGGCAAGTGAAGTAAGCTAAACTAACCTGCTGCGTCTTCATATTTACCATTAAGAAATAAAGCTGTGTTTAGACACAAAGCAAAGTGGTTCTATACAAAATCAACAGAAAGGCACGTTTGGAAATTGCAAACTGACATGAGGACGTGTCATCATTTCAGCTTGAGCAAAGAAATATACCCATCCGGGGACTTATGATGAGTATTCTTTACAAACATACAGAGATGGGAGGAAAAAGGAGAGAGACCACACAGAAATGACCGACACATTGGGAGTCTCTGGTGAGTTCTAAGATCAGTTAGAGCATGAGCTGCCATACAAACACACATGCACAGCAACGTAGACTGAGCTAACGGTTCAGCGGTCAAATTTTCACACCTTAAGAATGGTATTGATTTTGTCATCTGACTTTTGGCAAGAAAACAAATCACTATTTTTACCAAAATTAAGAGTTATTCCTTCTTACAGTGTAACAGTGGCCCCAAAATGACAACTTTGCATGTTCAACATCTCATTTACTGAACAAACAAAACAAACTGCTGCCATACTCACCATGTCAGCAACCTTGAGGTATCCGTAGGAGAAGACTATGGCGTTCGGAGGCGTAGCAACAGGCAGCATGAAGGCAAAAGAGGCGCTCAGAGTACAAGGCACCATGACGTACAGTGGATTGATTCCAATGGACTGAGACTGCAATAATCACACAGAAGGCTTCAACAGTCAAAGGCAGGGATGAAAAGAGCCTTCATCACAAAATCCTACACTCCTCCATCTGGCTATTTTTCTGCAACCGTAATCACTGACTCACAAGTCAGAGGGAAATGTTTGCAATTCTTTGCGCAGCGAGAACTCTCATTAGGTGGGTGTAATTAGGATGTAATTCCTGCAAGCTCGGAGCTGAGTCATGATATCTCGAATAGAAACACTCTACGCGTGCAACGATAATGGCACACTGCTAAGATGCAGCAAACATCACTCTGAATTACATATGCTGCGGCACAGTAGCTTACAAGTGTATTTCTGACATTCAAAATAAACAAAGGGTGAAAAAACTTAAAGTTGTAGTTAGTCTTCTTTAAATTACAGGCTGTATATCAGGTCACCACGATGACAGTGTTTTGTGTTGTCTGATGGTTTTTTGTTTGAATCAAATAATAAATATTCTCTTGACAGAAAGACACATTAAGTGACATACCACAAGCCATGATTGCCATAATGTGTCAATCTCCTCACTTTCAGCTGATCACATGTTCTTTTCTTTTTCTCTTTTCTTTCTATCTCTGGTTTCACACGAGGGTTGGACACCCCCGTGCACTCTACTGGGCTTCGCCCTCAAAAAATATCTATCTGAATACCCCTGCTTGGCACTGGCTTTCGCTGGCTTTCGCAACCCAGCCTTGGCGTTCTCTCGAGTGCTGGACTAGCGGGCACAGTGATGCCATTCTTCAGCAGCAGCGGGGGGTGGGCTGTATTACAAGGCACTGGGCTGCACATTGGTGTGTTTGGCAGGGTATTAACGAGAGGAGGGGCCTGGGGAAGGGGACCAAACACATTCAGCCTGAATGACCAACTAGATGGGGGACCAAACAAGGAAAAATAGGCCGGCTCCCACTGGGAGTAGTTTCAATGCTGGACTCCAATTGGGGAAATCGGTTCAAAAGAAATTACACTATAGCACTCCACCTTACTGAACCACTGCCGCCAAACATAATTGTCTGTCTCCTGCAGTCTGAGATCATGCCTCTGCTTCTTAACACATTTCATTTTCTCCCTGAGAACTTACCATTGAGGCTAAGACAGGTAGGAAGAGCGTTGCAGTGGCCACATTACTGGTGCACTCTGTGAAGGTAGCAATCAGCAGGCATAAGATGATAGCAATTGCCCAGGGAGGGATGCTTTGCAGGGGAGTCATTTGATCTCCCAACCACTTTGAGAGTCCTGATTCCTAAAGAGAGAAAGATATAAAATGAAACATCTTTTCTGGAAATGAAAATAGTTTGATTTGTACATCTGAGTCAACATTTGCTCATGTACTGTGATTAAACTCAAATTAAGGTTTGTGCAGCATATACAGCAGGGGTCACTAATAGGCGGTTCCGGACCCAAACGCTGTTGTGTGCGGTGACATTTGCACACACACAAGAGAGAGACCCAACAGTCGGAGAAGTACGTGAGTCCGAGAAGTTATTTCACATAGCGTTGTCTAAGAAGAGAGATGTGGACCAGAGAGACCAGAGAGACCAGAGAGACCAGAGAGACCAGAAACACCAGACAGACCAGAGTCTTTAACCAAGAATAGACAGACTCATATATCTTCATTCGTCCTACAAGCAGTTCAAAACAGTTCAATGTCTCATATCTTCAGAGACAGCATGTGAAGCGTCACTAGGAGACAAAGCACAACTCTTTTGACCAAACGTACCCACTCAAATCCGAAATGAAGGTACAAAAAATAATAGATCTAAGAGCCCAAAATTATCAGAATCCTAATGCATTAATTCGCTGCCCAACAATAATGTTAACAGAGAGGAATAGAGCTGAAACAAGTGGTTTATTGACCACAGATAAAGTCCCTGCACACAAATTTCTCTTTTAGAAGATGAAAATAATATGAATATCGTGGCTTTTTTGATTGACCACTTCACACCTGAATTAACTGAATTTAAAGCTGCAGGGCAAAGACAATTCAGTTAAATTCATTTTTCTTATAAAGTACTTTATTTTAAGAGTCAGATTTTTCAAAACCTTACTGATGTGGATTTTATTTTTTAATTCAGCCTACATTTTACTTGAAATAAGAGAACATTTACATATTATTAGAGTATATATCATTTATAATGAATCCAGTTCAATCTGAAATCTGACAATAAATATTGTTTGTATTATTCAGTTGAACTTTCGTTATTTGATTTGACAGTCAGATGTTGACGACATACAGACGTTAATACAACTGTTGGCTACTTCAATATACATGGGACTAAATCATAGCGCAAGTCAAGACATTATTTGGTGTTCCGGACCGTTGGATGAGGAAATTCTCTCTAACTGGACCTCGCTGAACTTTAATTGAATACCCCTGATATACAGTGTTCTTTGAAATATTACTCAGGGGTATTTCCAGCATAAGTACGCAAAATAAATTAAATTAAAGCAACACATTCCAGGGGAAACATTTGATCTAGCAGTAGTAGGACATTTTCAGTTTGCATAGCTGCAACCTAAAACAGCATTAGGAGAGTACACCGTAAATAACTAGGCTGATTTGGATGCAAATTAAAATTAGATCCAGTGTGAGAATGGCGCACTTTGCCACCAACAATAAAAAACACTATTCAGAGAGGGTTTTACATAATGTAAATACATTGAATAACAATAGCATAACAAAAGGGGTTTGATTTCATGAAATTCTTTTACAACTTGAAACACAGCCGACACTTACTTCACTGCCCTTGGCCAGAGCAAAACCTCCGCCAAGAAGAAGCACAATGCCCCATGGTAACTTCTTTTGGGCAACTTTCCAGGTGAGCAGAGGTGGAGTTGGGCCAACAGGTTGATGGGATGCTACAGATCCAATAAATCCAATGTCAGTTTTGAATCATTGTCTCTCCAGCTCTCAAGACTTGGATATAGCTGTATGATACGTAATATATACAGTATATACCTCCAGAATGATGGCTCACCTGTGTCAAAACTGTGAGTCCTCCACGAACAGAAGCGTGGGGGTCTAGACGGCAGAACAAAGAGAAGGACGGCAACGAAGATTGCCACTGTGGCATCTGTCACATACCTGAGAAGTGGAGCGTTGAGGGAATGAACAAACTTAGAAAGTGTCTTTAAAGCAAATAATACAAAAGTCCTAAACTAGATTAACGTATCAGTGAAACATGAGGTTTATTATTGTGTACAAACTCTGCTTTGGAGTTGAAGATATGTGTCGCCCAGCCGTCGACGAAGCCTGGGTCCCTTGAGAACCACAGCACCACCAGCAGAACGAAGACACCCAGGACGCTGATCTCTCCGAAGGACATGGGCCCCAGCCGGCGATGCTCCTCACGGATCACATTATAGGCAGCAATCTCCTTCTCTGTCTTCACAGCCCCACAGCCCCACATCTTCTTAAAGCTAGAGGGATCACACGGGAAAGAAAGCCTTTGTGTCACCTTCACACTAAATCACAGTCCTGATGCGGTAAAAGTTTCTTGATGTGAATTCAAGGCTATGTCACCGCAATTAAGCTTTAACCGTCACCAAACTCACTTGAATCCCATGAAGACAAACTGCAGCCAAAGCCAGGCCAGTGTGAGCATGAGGATCATGTTAGGGAAGGCAAAGCCGAACCAGGAGGCAAAGTTAATCACGTCCCCATTTTCAGGAAAGAGTCTAAGGAAAACAACAAAGGATTTAATTAATTTAAACATTTTATAGAACAGGGTTGAAACTAATAGAACATGGCTTTGAGGAAAACACTCACTGGTTCATCTGGCCCATGAGCACCAGATTGGGACCGGTTCCCGTCAGCGTGGCGGTGCCTCCGATGCTGGCAGCGTAACAAACGCACAGGGTCATCCCTTTGCACATTTTCTTCTGTTCTGCTGCCTCTTTTTGCATGGTAGCCTCCACCGCCACATCCAAGAAAGTCACCACCACAGGGGCTTCAAACAAAGAGCAAGTTATGAAAAGAGCTACAAACAAACCTAGTTTTACAGGCAGTGAAGGCGTATCAGAACACGGCACGTGAAGACGACCATGGCTCACCTTGGCCCTCACTCTGTCTCTCTGTCTGTGGAGGCTGTTTACTGTCCGTCTCTGATGTCTGGACCTGCTCCTCTGAGCTGAGGATCTGAGGTATCTCTGCCTCACTGTTGTTGAGCTGCTTGAGCACTGCTTGGACAATAGGCACCATCATGGCTGTGGTAGCTGTGTTACTGATCCACATGGACAAGAAGGCTGTCACACCCATGAAACCCAACATCAAACTGTCAAGAAGATGAAATAAAAAAAACAGTAACACTGTTAGTGGCCTTGGATGGGAAGAGGTCGCCCAGAGTGTATTACAACAATCAATAATAAAAAGAGAAAGAAAAATACTTTTATGATGACAAGAAACAACTTAAAGATAGTTTCTTTATCTATATCAGGTGTTTTGAGATCATAGTTGATTAGATATGCTTCGGAAATGTTCTTGAAGGTGAGAAGCCAGAGAGAGAATCTGCTGTGGGGGAGCATCTGAGCCACTCACAGCGCTGGTCGCACACCAACCAGGAGCAGCACCCTCAAGGCGATGCGCTTGTGCAGGTTCCAGTGCTCCACGGCTACTGCGACCAACAGTCCCCCCACAAACAACAGGTTTGTGTCCTTCAGGTACTGCATACACACCTGGGTCACACAGAGTGAGATGTGTGTGAACAGAAATCCATCCCTGACGGAGTCAATTCAACACACTGCTGCAGTTTGTTTTCACTTACATCTTTGGATTGCATGATGCCAAACACGGGGAAAAGGATGGCCGGGAGCAGAGCTGTTATGGCCAGCGGTAGGACTTCTGTGCACCAGTACACCGCCATCAGGACTATCACATAGGCGCATTCTGCCTCCTGCACAAAGACATGTGATCACATACTGGTAAAATGCACAAACACAAAGACTTGTAAAGTCAAAGATAACTTCTGTCATCAGTGAGTGTTACATCATTTTTAATGTTATTATGTTTCAAAGGTTAAAGATAAGTGTGCTTTTAGTTCTATTGTTTCTGATCACCTGCATGTACACTTCTGAGATAAACACCCCTCCAATTATTATTACAAGTCATATTTTCATGTTTTATTGCTCTGCAGTAATAAAACATTGTTCTTCAGCCTTGGTTGCTTTGATACTGTGTTTTCAGTTTTTTGCAACTCTGCCACCCTCCTCTGTGCCATTGTTCATGGCAGCTTTGCATCGAAGTCTTATGTCTGTCATAACATGCTCGGTCCACAGCCTGTGTGCACGTCTCCGTGTCCCATGTAGGCAACGTGGACAGATCGGACTCTGTGTTCCAGCGGTGTATAGTAACGAAGTAGAAATACTTTGTTACTGTACTTAAGTCATTTTTTTTGGATATCTGTACTTTACTTTACTACTTATATTTCTGTTGACTTTTACTTTTACTTCACTACATTTTGCAAAGAAAACTGATACTTTGACTCCGATACATTTCCCCTGAAACCTTTCTACAAAATCAAATCTATCTTTAGAAAAAAATGAATCATGAGACCAACGTCGGGGACTGTGGTGGAACACAGACTGCAAGCAAGCAGGTTTGGTGAATCAGTGTTCCTAGCTTGCAAGTTAAATCATTGGTTAATCACGTTAATGCACAATTGCAAACAAGTGCTCTCAAAGCCGCACGTTTTGATTCCCAGTGATGCCCAGGATGCTATTTGCTATAGCTAGTGGGCGACTACATGAGTAGAATTCCACTCTACGATGACTGATTTCATGATGGAAGCAGAAATGGAGAGAGACAGCGAGATCCTTCTTGTGGCACTCAGCGGCACTCTGTGGCACTCAGCGGCACTCAGCGGCACTCTGTGGCACTCCGCGGCACTCTCTGTGGCA